ATTGAGAATCCGTACGGGGCCTTCTCTCAGCAGCTGATTTCGACGAAGGAGCTTCTGAGCCAGCCCGGGGTCCAGGCGGTTCGGGGAGACCAGTGTGAGTTCGGGCTCAGGACCCTCGACGGGGGTCTGGCCATGAAGCCCACGAGTTTCATCTCGAACAGTCCGGAGCTTCTCGCCGTATGTCACAGGAGGTGCACGGGACAGCATGAGCACTCGCAATTGGTGGGCGGGGCCAGGACATCAGCAGCTGAGCGGTACCCTGAGCGTCTGGTGGACGCGCTGATTGAGGGCGTTGAGCGGACAGGTTTTGCCGTTCTGTCAGCTAGCGAGCCGGGGGCCCTCTCGTTTCCGGCCGCCGCTGCCCCAGGGGCAGACCCCCACCCGGTTGACGGCGGAGAAATCAGCGACTCCGAGGAGGAGGGGGAACTCGAGCGTCCGGGCCCTGAGGGGGCCGAGAAATCCGATGCTTCAGGTTCGGTTGGAATTCCACGGGAACTCCAGGACGAGGTCCACAAGTTACACGTGAATCTGGGACACCCCCGGCGAGAGCATCTGATCAGGACGCTAAAGGTCGCTCAAGCAAAGCCTGAGGTCATCAACTGGGTCAGCAAGCATTTCGCGTGCCCTGGATGTCAGTCGGCCTCTCGGCACGGCTGGCGCCGGCGCTCGTGTCTGCCGCGAACCTATCGGTTCCATAAATTGGTCGCAGCGGACCTTCTGTATATAAGTGCCCTTGGCGAGACTAGGCCAGTCCTCAACTTGATCGACCACGGGTCGAACTTCCAGGTTTGCGCCCTCCTGCCCTCGGCTTCGGCCGCCGAAGTGTGGAGGGCCTTTTTGCGGTATTGGGTGAGGCCACTCGGTCTGCCTGAGACCGCCATGACGGACGGGGGACCCGAGTTCGAGGGAGCCTTCTCCCGGGGGCTGGAGCAGGAAGGAATCTTCCAACATGTGTGCGACGCGGAGTCACCCCACCAGAATGGGCGCTGCGAGCGTCATGGGGGGCTCGTGAAGGCTGCTCTGGTTAAGGCTTCTGGAGGCACTGCCCCAGCGACTCTGGAAGAGGTGGAGGACCTTCTCTGCGAGGTGGTCGCGGCCAAGAACCGTTTCGCCCATAGGGGAGGGTTCTCTCCTTACCAAATGGTTTTTGGGGAAAATCCCAGACTCCCTCGTTGCCTCTTGTCGGACGATGCTCACGACGAAGTCGGGATCGACGAGGTGGTGAGGGGCTCGACTGACGCGGAGTCTCCGTCGGCAGCTTTCGCGAGGAAGCATGCTTTGCGAGAGGAGGCCCGGCGGGCCGTCATGACCATGGACGTGCGGGACCGTCTCGTTTCTGCTTCGCGTGCTCGCAAGCATTTGGATCCAGTGTTTTCCCCGGGGAGTTGGGTTTACGCGCGGAGGCGCGCCCCCTCTCAGCCTCACGGCAACGTCGGCAAGAGCAGGTGGACTGGGCCCGGGGCCGTGGTTTTCCAGCAGGGAACGACGGTTTGGGCGGCGATGCGCTCGCGTCTCTTGAAGTGTGGGAGCGAGCAGGTTCGTTGGGCCACCAAGGAGGAGTCGTGGGGAGCCGAGCTTCTCGACTCTCCCTCTTTCGACAGCCCCAGGCGCGACCTGAGGGACCCAGGGAAGCGGGTGGGAGCGGTTGACGCGGAGTCCGAGGGGCCCCCTCCTCCTGGTGCTTGGGACGTGGCGGCGCCCCCTGAACGCTCGGAAGGCGCAGCTGCGGTGGTGGCCCCACCCACTGCTCGAGGGGCTGAGCCGGTGGTTGTTCCAGAGGATGATCCTCCTGCCCCTCCTGCTCCTCCTCTCCCCTCTTCGCTCGAGAGGGCCTCGACGGCCCAACCTCCCTCTTCGACCCAGGGGTCCGTGCCCACGCCCGCGGTCTCTCGTCAGATTACGGATCCGGGAAGCGTCGATCCCTCCCCTCGTCCTCATCAGAGACCAAGGCTGGAGCAGCCTCCCCCTCACCAGTCAGCGCCTCGGACCCCGGCAGGGCAGCTGCCAGCTTCTGGGCGAGTGTTGGCGCTCGCGAGAGAGATCGACCCTTCGATCCGGCGCCGCAGCGCTCTAGATGACACTCCAGTTTCGATTCGCCGTGGCGATCTGCGCCCGGCTGCCTCTTCCTCCTCCGACGCCCCTGGCCAGCCGAGCTTAGGTGCTGGTGACGGCGCAGACGCCGTCCTGGAGTCCGGAGGGCGTGCGAGGTCGCGAACTCCCGAGCCTCGCCTTCTTGAGCCCAGGGATGAGTCCCTGAGATCGAGCACAATTTTTGACAGATATGGTGCTCCGGTCTCGAGGGTCGCCGATCGGGCGATTCGAGATGCTGGCTTGGAAGATGTGCCTCCAGATCAGAGGATCTTGGGTTCCTGGTTTGAGGACGGCGGCGAAGACGAGCAGTCAGGGTTCGACGAAGAGCAGGAGGAAAGCCTATGGGCTGAGTTGTGCGGGTGGTACGGCTGGGAGCCGTCCTTTTGGGTTGGGGGAGCTGAAACCTTCGCGGAGACTGGGGGCTGTTCTGGGGAAGGGGCCCCTCCCAGTCGGAGAGGAGCGGAGGTTTCGCTCAAGCATCTCTCGGAGGCCGAGAGACGCCTTCTCGTTTTCTCAGATGCCAAGGAGTGGCAAGCGATCTTAGATCCGGGAGCGGTGAGGATCGTTCCTGCCGCCGAGGCGGCTTTAGTGCGCAAGCGTTTTCCTGATCGAGTGCTGGGTTCCCGGATGGTCCGACGTTTTAAACCACAGGAGGGTTTGGGGTCTGAAGCTGCTGCTAAATCTCGATGGTGCGTGCAGGGGCACCATGACCCCGACAGCGATCAGTTACAGGTCTACGCCCCCACCCCCCAGGGGGAAAGCATCATGTTGACTCTACAAGCGATTTGCTCGTTGGGATGGACCTTGGAAGTTGCAGATGCTAAGAATGCATTCTGTCAGTCCAACAGACTGTCTCGTCCACGTGGACAGATTTTCTGCGAGCCCTGTCAGGGGCTGAACCTCGCCCCAGGCGAGCTCATTGAGCTCACTGCGCCAGTGTATGGATTAAACGATGCCCCATTGCTGCGGCACCGCACGCTCACACAATGGTTGTCCGAGGACGGCTTCGAGAAATCCCTTCTCGAGCCCTGTTTGTGGGTGAAACGGTCGGGCCAGGGGGAACCTCGTTCCATCGTGCTTATAGAAGTTGACGACCTTATAGTGTCTTCGCACCCCGGGGAGAGGGCCGGTTTGAGGGAGCGGCTCCAAGGCCGTTTTAAATTCGGGAAGTGGAAAATCGGGGAGTCAGATTTTGCGGGGAGGCACCTCAAGCAGGTGGGGTCTCGTATTTTTGTAGACCAAGAAAAATACATCGTTGAGCAGCTTGCCCCCATGCGTCTGGCTAAGGAGCGCCGTGCTGTGCCGGATCTCACCGCGGAGGAGATCCGCCACTATCGTACGATGGTGGCACAGATACAGTGGCTGGGGAGGGAGTCTCGTCCGGACGTGGCCGCCGGAGCCTCTTTGCAGAGTGCCGCGCTGCCGAGCCCCACGGTGGCTGACGCCATCATGTGTTTGAAAATAGTTAAGCATCTCAAGAGCTCGGCGTGCCAAAAGATTACGATCTGGCCTCTAGACGCTGCCTCTCTGAATTTCGTGACTATTTCCGATGCTGGTGGCCCCGGGTCCGCTCGTAGAAACGGGGCCCAAGGAGGATGGCTCGTGTGCGCGGCCGATGCGTCGATTCGGCAAAATGTGAGGTCCCGGGTGTCCTTGCTTTCTTGGCGTTCGGTCAGGTTGAAGCGCGTGGTCGCTTCCACGGGAGCTGCTGAGACTCTGAGTTTGAGTGCTGCGCTGGCCGAGGGCCAGTGGCTCGCCATCATGTGGCGAGACTTGCTTTTCAATGACGTGTGCAAGCCCGACTGGCACCTCTCGCAGGCGCCCTTCTCTGTTGTGCTGAGCAGGGACTGTACCTTGTCTGAGGGAGTGAGCTCGCTTTCGGTCGTCGACGCGAAATCGATTTTTGATACTTTGTCTCGCAACAGTGCGGGCTCCCGTCAGGACAGGAGAACGGCGATTGAGCTCGCTGTCGTGCGCGACAGTCTCTCGGCTATAGGCTCTCAGATCAGATGGGTTCCTCATGGCCGCATGGCGGCAGATTGCCTTACTAAGGCAAACCCCACACGGGGAAACGTGGCTCTCTCGGACCTTCTCAGTCGAGGTCCGATCGTGCTTGTGGATGAGGAGGGACACATGACAGAGAGAGCTCTCAACAATGATTTAAAGAGTCGGTCGCGCGCGTCATCCCGTCAGGTTCTGAACCAGCCGGGAGACGGCTATTGGGTCGGGGATCAGGCCGGGGTAGGCGGGAGAGGCGAGGAGGAGGGCAGGAGTTTCGGGCCGCTGTCAGATCCACTGAAAGTAGTCCCGTTGTGGTCGTACCCCCACTCCCCTCCTCCCTGTGTGTCCCTTGGATCTGACCGTAGCCTGTTGGCTTAAGGCCGCCTGGTCGGCGGAGTTACTCAGTACTGTACTGTGGTGTTCAGAGGCGTGCCTCGGAAAACTCTATGCCCATCCTTTGATATCTCGTTATCTTTCGCCTTCTTCGATGCCCGACGGAGACGATCTCAGCATCGCCCCCCACCCACCGCCTAAACCCCCACACCCCCACCCCACTGGCAAGTACACGGACATAAACATTCGGAGGTTTGTGCGGATTTCTTGGGTCAGCGCTGAGACCCCGAGGCGGCATCTGTGGCGCAGCCCTGGCTCGTGCCGCGCTCTAGGGATGTGGGGCCCAGCGCCGATCCAAAAATTCCGCGCGGACCTCCGACAGTTCATGTTCATGCCGATGTCGCTTTTGTTCCATCCAGGGCTCTACCTAAGCGGTGTTCTTGCGATTTCGTGTGCCATTGTTCGTTTTGATTGCGTTTTGCGGTAAAGGTGGAACGAAGACAAAACAAGAGAACACCAAAACAATAGGAAATCGAAAATCATTGCTTAGGTCGATCCCTGGTGTTTTCCGCAAGGCGGTGGCGAGGGCTGTTTGCACCACACTGGAGGACCAGGGGCAAACGAGAGCCCACCCACTTGGAGCAGGCTGGAAGCCTGAGGTGGCCCAGCAGTGGTCTCGGCCAGCAGGAAAGGGGAGAGGTTGGAGATTCTGAGTCCGAGGAGGCTATTTCTTTGTTTTCGGTTTCCAGGGACCGTTTTCGGGCCCTGGGACCGTCAAAAAGGATCCAGGCTGAACAATTGATTGCACCTGATGGACCCCGGAGGGGTCCAGGGACCGATTCTGAGCGGATTGGCTTTTGTCCCTCTGTTTTGACCGACTTCCTCGGGGCAGCGCAGACCCCTTGGCCGCCTCCCAACACCCACCCGCTCCCCAGGCTCCCAAGGTGAGCCCACGAGAGGCCGCAAGAGATACCCCAAGCGGCCCGCCACCAAGGGGTGAAAAAGATACCAGATTTCAAGTGCCGAGTTTCAGAAAGACCCACGCCGTCGAGGATCGAAGGAGTTGGCATTTCTCCCTCGGCAGAAGGCGGCAGAAGGTTGACGGAAGTAAAACAAGGTTACGTCCGCCAGCGGAAGGCCAGAAGCCACCGGAGGACCCCCAAGGGATGGCAATTATTTTGGGTTCAAGGTTTCCGGAACCCGCCAAGTGAAACCGTTTTCTTGTTTGCTCTGTGTTTTCCAAGCCGTGCCACGAGATCTTTTAGCTTGGCCTCCTTGGAGCGGCGGCATCAAAGTTTCGACGCTGGTTGTTGACGCAAGCTTCCCGCTCTCACCTTCTCCCTCCCAAGAAGCTCCGACGGCAGGACCCCGCATGAGAATCTTCCTCCTCGTCGTCCTGCTGAGTGCAGAGGCTCTCCTGTTTCCGTTTGGCCTTTTGCCCCGGCGGAGGTCTTCCTCTTCCGCCCCATGTTTTGCCTCCCCTCTCGTCCTCCTGCTTTCCTTCAACCACCTCCTCCCCAGCCCCTCTTGCAAGGGCGCTCATGTCGAGGTTCATTGGCGCCGTCACCTCCTCGGCCGGCAGGGGCGCGTCCTCCGATGTCGAGATCGCACAGCCGTAGATCGGGCCCCAGAGAAAAGGAGCTCTTGCTCGAGATTTCCTCGCGAGTCATTGACAGACGAGGCCCCCTCGAGGACATCCTCACACTTTGCTCCCCTGGGCCGCTCAAGTGCTACGCACATTGTCTGCCAATGACCGCGTCGGATGATCAAAATCAGCATGAGGAAGATGCTCCCGCGCGAGACCTCCTCGAGATTCAGTGACGGCCGATGCCCCCGCTCGAGGCATCATCCGCTAGATTCAGGCCCCAGGAGCCCAAATTCGACGACGATAACAAGGTTTGGATGGCCCCGCTCGGATTTCAACATGGAGGCGGTGACCCCGTAGGGAGGGGCTCCCGCTTGAGACTTCTTCGCGATCCACTCACTGACGAGCCTCCCGCTCCATACTTCTGTACAGGCTCGAGAATCACGATTTCAAACGCGACGACAGCTACATTGTTTGGATAACCCCGATCGGATTCCAACATCAAGAGCCCGACGGGGACCCCATAGGCAGAAGGCTCCGGCTCGAGATGTCCTGTCGACCCACTCACACACGAGGCTTCCGCTAGACATTGCCTTTCCATTCTTGTACCAGGGACCCAAAAGTGAAGACAATACTATGAACCGAGACGTACCCAAGCCCTTCTCAACAGGAGGCGAATCTTGATATGAACGCTCCATAAAAAGAACACATCGCCAGATGTGCACGATCTGCGCTGCCCTCATCTCCGCCGTGCTTCCCAGGAGCCGACGAAAGTGGCGACGATTGCGCAGTTATTGGATTCCCAGGGAGCCGCGAGGTGTCGGCTTGATCCGCTTGACACCCCGATTTCGCTGGACCTCACAAGAAACCACGAAAGTGGCGACAGTTGCGCAGTCCGCTGCCTCCCAAAGATTTGCGATGTTTCGGGTACTCCCCTACACCGCCGTGCCTCCCAGGGGCCCACGAAAGTGGCAACCACTGCGCAGTTCGCAGCCACCCACGGAGTTGCAAGGTTTCGGGTACACCCCTACTCCACCGTGCTTCCCAGAAGCCCACGAAGGTGGCGACAGTTGCGCAGTCCGCTGCCTTCCAGGGATCTGCGAGGTCCCCGGTACTCTCCGACTCCGCCGAGCTTTCCAGGAGCCCACGAATGTGGTGACAGTTGCGAGGTTCGCAGCCACCCAGGAAGGTGCGATGTCTCGGGTACTCCACTACTCCGCCGTGTCTCCCAGGAGCCCACGACAGTGGCGACAGGCGAAGTTCGCAGCCTCCCAGGGGGGTGTGAGGTCTCGGGTATTCCCCGACTCCACCATGCCTCCCAGGAATCCACGAACGCAGCCTCCAGAGAGCTGCGAGGTGTCGGGTACTCCCCTATTCAACCGTGCCTCCCAGGAACCCACGAAAGTGGCGACCGCTGCGCATTCCGATGCCTCCCAGGGTGCTGCGATGTCTCGGGTACTCCCCTACTCCGCCGCGTCTGCCTCCCAGGAGCCCACGACAGTGGCGACAGTTGCGCAGTCCGCTGCCTCCCAGGGAGCTGCGGGGTCTCGGGTACTCCCCTACTCCGCCGCGTCTGCCTCCCAGGAGCCTACGAAAGTGGCGACAGTTGCGCAGGTTGCAGCCACCCAGGGAGCTGCGATGTCTCGGGTACTCACTCCACCGTGCCTCCCAGGAGCCCACGAAAGTGGCGACCGCTGCGCAGTTCGCAGGCACCCATGGAGCTGCGATATCTCGGGGGCTCCACTACTCCGCCGAGCCTCCCAGGAGCCCACGAAAGTGGCGACAGTTGCGCATTCCGCTGAATCCCATGTGGCCGCGAGGTGTCGGCTGGATCCGCGTGGCCCCCGGCTCTGTTGGACCTCCCAGGAACCCACGAATGTAGCGACGGTTGCGCATGTCGCGGCCACCTAGGGAGCTGAGAGGTCCCGCGTGACCCTACTCCGCCGTGCCTCCCAGGAGCCCACGAGAATGACGACAGTTGCGCAGTTCGCAGCCTCCCATGGAGCTGCGATATCTCGGGTACTCCCCTGCTCCGCCGCGTCTGCCTCCCAGGAGCCCACGAAAGTGGCGACAGTTGCGCAGGTTGCAGCCACCCAGGGAGCTGCGATGTCTCGGGTACTCACCTACTCCGCCGTGTCTCCCAGGAGCCCACGACAGTGGCGACAGTTGCGCAGGTTGCAGGCACCCAAGGAGCTGCGAGGTCCCCGGTGCTTCCCGACTCCGCCGTGCTTCCCAGGAGCCCACGAAAAAGGCGACATTTGCTCAGTTCGCAGCCACCCAAGCAGCAGCGCAGGAGGAGGGGGGAGGAGAAGTGGGGAGGTGCTGGAGGAGAAGATTTGCGACCGCAGCGCTCTACTCGAAACGCAAGCCCAATACAGGAGGGTTGGGAGAAAAGGTTTGGGTGGCTCTGCTCGGATTCCAGCATGGAGGCGGGGACCCTAAAGGCTGGGGATCCCGCTTGAGACTTCTTCACGATTCACTGATCAGCCGAGGTTTCCGCTCGAGACGTTTGTTCGATGCAGGCCCCTGGAACCCAGAAGTAACGATGTTACAAGGTTTTGATGATCCGCTCGGGTTCCAACATGGAGACGGGGATCCCACAGGGAGCGGTTCCCTCGCGATCCACTCACATACGAGGCTCCCGCTTGAGACGTCTTCCATATTCAGGCTTGTGGAATCCACACGTGACGGCAGGTATCTTTTTGACACACCCGCTCGGATTGCAACATGGAGGTGGGGACCCCATACAGAGAGATTCCCGTTCGAGACTTCCTAGCAAATCACTTACACACGGGGTTCCCGGTCAATATTCTCTCCATGTACAGGCCAGAGAAGCCCAACAACGAAGACAGTTACAGGGTTTGGATAGCTCGCTTGGACTACCAACATGAGGCGGGAACCCCACTGGAAGGAGGGGTTCCCGCCCGAGACTTCCCCGCAACCCACTTATAAACGAAGCTCCCGCACGAGATGCCCTTTAGATTCAGGCCTGACGAGCACAACACTGATGACAGTTACACGGTTTGGATGATCCGCTCGGATTGCCAGTTTTAGGCGAGTGCCCCATAGGGAGGGGGTTCCCATTCGAGTTTCCTCGCCAGTCACTCACAGACAGCTTCCTTAGTGATAACGGTGTGGCGATGAGGATAGCGAGGATGATGATGGGGCTAGTGGTGATCTTGAAGGGACAGAAGGAGGAGATGGTGTGTGAGGTAAGGCCTGCGCGGGGTGTCCAGAGAAAACACAAACTGCATTTTGGATGTGGCAGAAAGATCCCACGCTGACGACGCCGCCGTCGACGACGAAGACAGCCCAGCGGGCGGCCCTCTGGCGGCATCTCCAACGACGGCCCGACGACATCGACGACGACGTCGACCGCGACCACGACCACGACCACGACTCCGACCACGACCACGACCACGACCACGACGACAGCCACGTCGACCACGACGATCAAGGCGTCCCACGAGCGACCCCAAGGACCCCCCCCTCCCGCGGGCGGCCATGAGGGGGCAGGGGGGCGGCGGCAGGAGTCAGACCCCAGCGGGACGGGAGACGCCCCAGCGGACAGGACACCGGGGGCGGCTCGGGCCTCATCGGGCGCTTCCACGCTTCATGGAATACGGCGCGCAATGTTGCGTTGCATCTTCGGGCGGCCTCGTCGGTTCGCAGACTCGGTGTCTTCTCTTGTGTCCGACGCGGGCTCGACGCGGTCTCGACACGGATTTTGGCGTGGAGCCGACGCGGATTCGACGTGGATCCGACGCGGATCCGACGAGTCCGACATGGATCCGACGCGGATTCGACGCAGACAGGGGCGCGACGTGACCGACAGAAACACATGTTTGGATTGAGCAAGTCGCATCGGCGGAAATCCGGATGCGTTGCTTGCGCAGAGAAGGAGCGCTTCTTCTCCGAGGTTTCGCGTGCCAGCCCCGGGCCGCCACCCCGACCCCGCAAATACGGAGCGTTTTTGTCGTGGATGCTCCGCGCGGAGCTTTCCCGTGCGACCGCGTGTCCGCGGGATCGCGTCCCAGCATCCAGACCGCGAGGGCGCGGATACAGATATGTCCGCCGCTCGTGAGCATCGGCGGAGGTTCAGATGCGCTGCCTGCGTCAGGAGAGGACCGATGATCCTCGGGACTTGTGCTGAGCGAGTGTGTGTGTGTGTGTGTTTGCCCCGATCAGCTCCGCCGATGACATGCCGCCTGATATGTCGGCACTCGCCACACCGCCTGCGTCGTGACGGTGGGCCTCGGTGGACAAGCACGCGCCGGCGTCGGCACACTTTCCTCAAGGGAGGAAAACCCACCCGGACCGGACGAGTGTCGTTTACTAAACGGCCTTGGGCGTTTACTAAACAGCCTTGCCCTGTTTGATTGACTCTTTGGGTGCGTTTACGAAACGGCTTCGCGTGTCGGGGTGGTTATTATCGGGGTGGATTGTTTGCCCTCTATTTCCGAGGCTCCTCGAGAGGAGCGCTTCTGCTCCGGCGCCGCCGCGGCCGTGCGCGGCGGCCTGCTGGCCAGGGAGGACCTCGTCGAGTGCCCCGCCTTCGCGGCGCTCGCGGGCCCCGAGGCCGTGGCGGCCCTCGCGGCCGCCGGCGCCGGGAGGTGTGCGGAGGACGTGGAGAGCTCGGACGACGAGGACGCTCTCGAGGACCACCAGGGGTCAGGAGGGGAAAAAACACACAGACACAATTAATCGGCGATTCCCAGGAAAATATGGGAAAATATGGGAAGTGGGGGGGAAGACAGAAACCCAGAAAATATGGGAAAATATGGGGGTTATTTTTATTTGTGTGTATTTATTTGTGTGTCCCAGTTCCCCTTCACACCAGGGGTGCGCAGAGCCCAGGCATGCAATTCCCCGTTGTGTGGCCGGGGAGGAACCACCATCACGATCCCCACCACTGGCGGTTTCGCCAGACAGGCCTGGGCGTTTGCGGGACAGCCCCGACCTCGTTGGGCCTCCTCGGAGGCCCTCGTCGCCACCGATGGACTCGCCTGGAAATTCTGGTCGGAACGCACCCCAGGAGAGGGCCGTGGCGTAGCAGTATCGGTACTTTTGGGTTTCCCTAGTCTTGGGCGTTTGTGAAACAGCGTCGCCCTGTTCGATCCTTTCCCAATGCGCGTTTACTATAAGACTTCGCTTGTCGGGGCGCTTGTTTCGGGGACCGTTTTGCAGCTTCCCAGTGATGACCCCCCTCCCGTCCCAAAGACCCACCCCTTCCCGCCCGAAGACCCCCCTTCCCGCCCGCCCAAAGACCCCCGCCCCTTGTTCCCGCCCAGAGAACCCCCCCCTCCCGCCCAAGGACATCCCCCCCCTTCCCGCTCCGAGTGAACAGTCAAGCCGGAGGTTTTCGCGGTCTTCGGCCTCCGGGGGCCAGCCCCGGGCTCTTGGAGTGCTCGGACGACGATCGGACGCTCTCCCTGGAGGACCGGTGGTGCCCAGAGCTTCCCGTTGTAATTTCGGGGGGCCTCGTCTGTCCCGCTCATTGTCTGCCCATTTCTGATGCCCGACGTATGTTCGACGCGGATTCGACGCAGGCCCGACGCGGATTCGACAAGTTCGACGTGGACCCGACGCGGGTTCGACGCGCATAGCAGCGCGATGGGAGTGACAGGGTCCCCCGAGGATGCAAACAATGCAATTGCTTGAGAATCAAGGCGGAGGTGTTCGTAGCCTTCAGCCTCTGGGAGCCAGCATCGGGTTCTGGGGCCGTGAGAGAGAGAGAGAGAGAGAGTCTCAGGATGAAAATGTAGCCCCGGGGAATGGGTCGCTACTTTTCATCTTCGGAAGACCTATCCTGTCCTTTACATGGCAGTCCTTTTTTGTACTCCGACGTGGGTTTAACGCGGATTCGAAGTGGATTCGAGGCAGTTTCGACTCGGATTCGACACGGATTCGATGCAAATCGCTGTGAGACAGGACAGACATGGTCCCCCGAAAATGCAACGCAAGGGTCCGGACATCTGGTCCGGACATCGGGGGGCTTGGTATTGAAGACACCAGGTCATCGGACGTCCCTTTTATATTGAATCGCTTCGCTCATTCCGCCGGCCCATTTCGCATGACTGAGCCTCTTGGGGCCGCCGGGGGGCCTCTTCAGCGTCGCTTGGGGGCCTCATGAGGGCCTCTTGGGGGCTTTTGGGGCCTCTCAGGGGCCTCTTGAGGCCTCCTGGGGGCTTCTTAAGGCCGAGGGCTCGAAGTTTTGTTTTGTGTTCCCCCTTTGGGGCATCGCTTGGGGCCCTCTTGGGCCCCTCTTGGGCCGTCTTGGATGCCTCTGGGGCCGTCTTGGAGCCCTCTTGGGCCATCTTGGGGCCTTCTTGGGAGCTTCTTGGGCCCTCTTGGGGCGATCTTGGGGGCCTCTTGGGCCGTCTTGGGGCGTCGGGAAGCCGAAAAGATGGACACGCCAAAATCTGCCCAAAACCTAAGGAAAAGTAATGAATTTTGCCTCTTGGGGCCCTCTGGGGAGTGCTCTTGGAGGCCTCTTGGGGCGTCTGGGGGCCATCTTGGGCGTCTTGGAACGATCGTGTGGCATCTCGGAGCACTCTTGAACCATCTTGGAGGGCTCTTGGCGGCCTCGTGGCCCTTCTTGGGGCTCTCTGGAGGGCCACGGGGGCGGCGCCCAGGAGGAAAACCATCTCTGACCCGACCCTGCCGGGGATCGCCCGGGGTACTTTTCGTCCGGGGACCCCCATGGGCCGCCCCGCGCGCGCGAAGTAGAAGTATTATTTAGCAGTTACCGGAGATCTTAGCACGCCTCTGGCCCGTTGGGCCGGCGAATAATAGAGTCGGCAGGCCATCGGACGTCCCTTTTATATAATAGAGTCGGTTGGCTTTTCGCAATTTCGGTTTGGCTGGTTTCTGGCTCCAGGGTAGTTTAAGAGAACGACTCGGGATGGAGAGCCAGCGCTGAGGAAAGGATCAGGACTTCTGGTGGCCTAAACTTGAACAAATCAAGACATCAGACGTCTGGGCAGGGGGGCGCGCCAGGGCGGTGGCCTTTCAAAATTTGGGGGGCTTCTGAGAAGTCTCCTTTCCTTTAGGATGCAACTCTTGCGAGCCTCACTTCAGGATCGGCGTGAGTATATATATATATACATATACATACATATATATACATACATACATACATACATACATACATACATACATACATACATACATACATACATACATACATATACATTTACATCTACATACATATACGTGCATACAGAAAGTGTGCCAGTGGATCTCCCTGAATACCCTAAAGGTGGGGGGGGGTCCAGAACCCCCCCCCCTCCCCCCTTCCCCCCTTAAGAGGGAAGGGGGCGGTTCCCGACCCCCCCCCCCCTCCCTTGAAGGGGGGAGGGGGGGTCCGGAGCCCCCCCCCCCTCCCCCCCTTGGCGCTGGAAAGGGGAGGGCGGGGTTCGGACCCCCCCCTCGTGTAGGGAGTACGGAGTTGGGAGTGGTGAGTAGTGAGTAGTGAGTTAGTGCGTAGTGAGTAGTGAGTATTGAGTAGTGAGTAGTGGGTAGTGAGTGGCGAGTAGGGAGTAGGGAGTAGGGTGTGGGGAGTAGTGAGTAGTGAATAATGAGTAGTGTGTATTGATAAGTGAGTAGTGAGTGGCGAGTAGTGAGTAGTGAGTAGCGAGTAGAAAGTAGTGAGTACTGAGTAGTACGCAGTGCGTAGTGAGTAGTGAGTAGTGAGTAGTGATGAATAGAGAGTAGTGGGTAGTGGCAGTGGGTAATGAGTAGTGAGTAGCGAGTATGGAGTAGCGAGTAGTGAGTAGTGAGGAGCGAGTAATTAGGGCGTAGTGAGTAGAGAGTAGTCAGTAGTGAGTAGTGGGTAGTGATTAGCGAGTAACGAGTAGGGAGTAGCGAGTAGTGAGTAGGGAGTAGGGAGTAGGGAGTAGTGAGCAGTGAGTAGTAAGAAGTGGGTAGCGCATAGTGGGTAGTGAGTAGCGATTGGTGAGTAGTGGGTAGTGAGTATGGACGAATGACTAGTGACTAGTGCGTTGTGACTAGTGACTAGAGACTTTGTAGTGACTAGTGAGTAGGGAGCAGTAAGTAGTGAGTAGCGGGGAGTGAGTAGTGAGTATTGAGTAGCGAGTATTGGAGTAGCGAGTAGTGAGTACTGAGTACTGTGTAGTCAGTATTGTGTAGGGAGTAGGGAGTAGCGAGTAGTGGGTAGTGAGTAGTGATTTGTGGGCAATTAGTAGTTAGCAGTGAGTAGTGAGTAATGGATAGTGGGTAGTGGGTAATGAGTAGTGATTAGTGAGTAGTGAGTAGGGAGATGTGAGTACTGCTTAGTGAGTATTGAGTAGTGGGTAGTGAGGAGTGAGTAGTGAGTAGTGAGTAGGGAGGAGGGAGTAGTGAGTAGGGAGTAGTGAGTAGCGAGTAATGGGTGGTGGGTAGTGAATAGTGGATCGTGAGTAGTGAGTCGTGAGTAGTGAGTAGGGGGTAGTGAGAAGTGAGTAGCGAATAGCGAGTAGTCAGTAGTGGGTAGTGAGTAATGAGTAGTGCGTACTCTTTGGGGCTGGGGTTAGTGGTTGGGGTTAGGATTAGGGGTTTGGGTTAGGGTGAGGACTAGGGGTAGGGCTGGCGGGGGTCGGGTTCCGGAGTCAGGGGGCGGCGTGGCGAAAGGGGGGGGGGGTGTCGGACCCTCCCCCCCCTTTTGAAAGGGGGGGGGGGGGGTCCCGACGACGGATCGGGGAAAGGGGGGGAGGGGGGGGGTCCCGACGACGGATCGGGTAAGGGGGGAGGGGGGGGGTTCCCCGACGATGGATCGGGGAAGGGGGGGGGGAGATCCAGCGGCGCACCCTCATACATACATGCATACATGCATACATACATACATACAGACAGACAGACAGACAGACAAACAGACAGACAGACAGACAGACAACAACAACAAGAACAACAAGAACAACAAGAACAACAACCACAACAAAACAACAACCACAATAGATAACAACAACAAAAACAAACAAATAACATATATATATATATATACATACACACACATGTCCTCCCCCCCAGCCCCGGGTGCCACACCTCCCTGCCACATCTCGGGGGCGTTCTGGGGAGCCTCCACAGCGCTCCAGGAGGGCCCAAGACGACTCCCAGGAGCGCCCAGAATGCGAAAGGATGGTCCAAGACGCTCCCAAGCAGCCCAAGTCAGCCTTCCGACGGCTCTCGAGGCTCCCAGGTAACCTCCAAGAGACCCCAAGAGAGGCCCGAGAGGCGTCCAGGGACGGCCCGAAGAGGCCGAAATCGTCGATTTAAATTGGTGTTTGTCCCTGTTTTTAGCTTCTCGCGCTTTCGAGCTTCCAACGGTCCAGGAGCGCCGAAGAGGCTCCCAAGACCGCCCCAAGACCACCCAAGAGACCCTCAGGACGGCCCTAAGACGGGCCAAGAAGGCTCCAAGACTGCCGAAGAGGCGCCCAGGACGGCCCCAGACCACCCCAGAACAGGCCCAAGATGGGCCCAAGAGCGGGAGCAGGAGGCTTCCAGAGACCTCCGAGAGGCCTCCGGGACCGCCCAGAGGCCGCCAACACACCTCCGATCCTTGAGAGGTCCAAGAACAGCTCAAGAGAGCTGCGAGAGCCGTCCCGATGAGAGAGCCCAAAGAGGGTAAAATCGTTGATGTCCCATGGTTTTTCTAATGTTGT